AACTTTTACGTTTGGCGGCGGTTTCTATGCCGCACCGTTATACATATACACAGATGCACGCATCTTATGTATCGCTGAAATGGTAATTAATGCGAAATATAAAATTATAAGTATACGCACACATTTGAATATAAATTATTTTATTTATTTGATAAGAGCAATATTTAGATTTGTTTGGATTAACTATTTCTTCTTCTGCTTAGTTCACTGTCAAGTTATCTCTTCTTGCTTACGCGCGCACTCTTTCGCTCTTTCTTTATGTATCACAGGCTGCGCCGTGCTCGCTCTGGCTTCTTACAACAAAAACAGCGTTGGCAACAACAAAATCAGTATATATATACACATTTATGTGTGTATGTAATTATACAGTCGCACACAGCACACGCACACACTTACACAAAAACATTCTTGCATATACATCATTGACAGATGCTAGGAAATTTAACAGAAAGTCTGTGTACTGTTTTTTGCCTTAAGTTTTATTTTTAATGAAAACGTAACGAAATCTAATACATAGGCTTCATGTCTGATGTGCGCTATAGGGAGACCTTGAATTTTCTTTGATTGTTATGACGTAATTAGCGCGTCTGACCCTCTGCCTCTGCCACAGGCACGACCACGACCGACGTCGACTAATCGCTGCTTCGTTTATTCATCGTATTGACATTTTCAGCAGCCTTTATTTAGGTATGTACATACGTGTATACATATGTCGCGCGTTTTATTTTATATTTTTGTTATACTCGTTTTTCCCATCTACATGTTTGCATGCTTATTTAATTAGCAATCGACAAAATTGTATATTTCCCGTGATATGGCAGAGGATTTTATTATTTTGCACAAAAGAAAACACGGCGAGAAGTAGAAAGTCCAAAAACAAAATGGCGCGCTTGTAAGAAAAATTTTTAGTTTGCAAAAGCTTTGAAAAGCATGTTTCACACGTATATTTTATTAAGAACTTATGTATTACTCATTTTCACTGTTGTCTTTCTACATTGTGCACAAATTTGTTTTCTTTTTTAGCTTGTGTATAAATTAATTATGACAGAAATGCAGTTCTTACGTTTTACTTCTTTATTCTTTTATTGCGATATCAGATCTGACAATCAGGGTTGCTTAGCACAACTGGAAAAAGGCATTCAATTTATCTATCGATATTTTTCAATAAATGGTACTTATCGATGTTTTAATAATCGAGATAATGATATGATTGTAAGCTGCTACAAAGGGCAAAACCATACAATAAATATATCGAATTTATTATAGGTATTATATTTAAGTTTGAAGTTTAAATGGCCTTTAAGTGATTACTTGTAAATTTGAAAATAATTTTCATGTTAAAATGTTTAGCGAGGGAATACCTCTAGGTTGAGGCATAATATCGGTAAATTGCCAGTTATTATCGTGACTGTTAGTGTTGGTAACGTTGTATAAATTCCGATAACAATGCAAATATAATAACAGTTATTTAAATTTGTAATCTGTTTTTCAAAATTCTGAGCGACAATTAATTAGCTTATATATCAATATTTATGTTCCGTGTAAATATTCAATGAATTGCAGCCTAAACTAAATAATATTTATTTAAAAATATTGCGAGCTGTGTAAATATGTAGACCATCATTAATTTTAGAGCTTATTTGTATAATTGTATAATTTAATAAGCAATTTGTTTGATCAGATTTAATGGAAAGTCGTATTTAATACATTCATTATCATACATCATTATAAAAATCAAATGATAATTTAAAGTAACATTAGTACTTTCTGAATTCGAGTCAATAGACATAGAAATATATTCATATTATATATGAATATATATGTATACATATATATGCATATGTATGTAATAATATTAAAAAGATTATGCTGTCTTAGTTTAACAAAATAATGATGAATAGTAATTATTAATAGGGCTGTTGCTATTCATGATGGGAGTAGAGTTACGACCTTTGTTAAACGGAATAAATATGCATTTTATTCGATACATATGACAAAAGCATGAAGTATAGCTGCAATGGAACGCGGTCAGATTCATATGTAAGTTTCAAAAATGAATAATTCCGCATCGTAAAAAATTGTTAATATGAATTTTCACGCCGCGGCTCTTGTGTTGTAGGTCATCGATCCAGCGCTAGGTAATATAAAAGACCCGTCCAGTTCGTTGCGACATCAGTTCCAACTTCAATAGAGATCCGAGTGGTAACAAAATTTTTAGCCGAACAAAAATGAGCAGGACCGTAAGTATTTATCCTATTAAAGATTAATTTGAAATTTAAAATCAATCATTCTTTAGAGCATTATCCTTGTTGCACTGTGCCTTGTTGCCAGCTGCAGTGCTGTCGACGAATCCGATGCTGTGATTACCAAATATGGGTCACAGATTAATCTGGATGGCAGCTACAGTTACGAATATGGCACCTCAAACAATATCCAGGGCCAGGAGACAGGCGTGGGAGGCTCCTATGCTGCTGGATCTGTGCAATATACTGCGCCCGATGGGCAGCCCATACAACTGCAGTATACGGCTGATGAGAATGGATATCAGCCCAGAGGCGATCATTTGCCAACGCCCCCACCAATTCCAGATTACATCTTGAGGGCATTGGAATACATTGAGTCCCATCCTTTCACCAGAGTTCAGTTGAAAAAATAAGACTCTAAGAAGCTTATGTAGCACACCATACCACCTAGTTTAAGTTAGTAAATCAGAAATATAATGCTAAAATTGTATCGTTAAATCTGAAAATAGATAGTTTAGATGCATATACATAGCTAACTTTATTGAAGGTGTTTCCATGCTGCCTTGGAATTTTTTCGTTTCGAAAGAGCTTGATGTAAGTTTAGCTGCTTCTTCCACTTAAGCAAGCGGTTTGTTTTGAACCTAATCAAATGTGAAACAACTTCAATTTGTGCATCGACAACAAATATATATTTAGTTATTTGCCAGCATCAACAGCATCAGCATCGGCCGTAGTATTGGGCAGTTTACCTTTCAGCCGCTTACCAGTTTTTGATGTTAATGAGATTCAATCGCCAGCGTGTTATACTTATTTAGTGTGAGCTTCGCCCCTACATTAGCGTGTCTAGTAAACTTTGCTGTTTATCACTCAAATCGAGTTCAACACAGTCTTTAAATGACTTTTGAATCATTTTAGATTGAAGTGTAGCAAAGTTAAGGTAGAGCCCAATATGCATATATTAGTTTATAGCTCATGGCATTTCCTTAAATAGACATTAAATTTTGACGAATTTCGATTTCGATTGATGCTTCAATGTCGTAGAAGTCTAGGGAGAAGCTTTGAAAGCTTGAAAAGCGTGTCTTTTGTTTTAAAATTAGACTTGAGTTGAATAATGCTGTTAATCGGATTATCCAGTTATATATACATATATACTATTGCGCAGGTTTTCCTTTCCTTTTATGAAAATGCGCAGCATAATGGCATACAATTTTCAATTCTAAGTCCTCCAGACTGTGCCACTTACAGTGAGTAGTAACATTATTGTTCGGTTTTTATTTTGTTCCGCTTGATGTATAATCTTTGTTAGTTATGTTAAATATCCTATATTGATATATAACCTTTCCGATGAGGTTATTTTTCAATCTACATTTTAGCATTTACACTTTTTTAATTTCAATTAATATTATATGTTTTATAATCATTTGAAGTTGAAAAATAAAATACTCATAGCGACTTTTGCATAATGTGTATTTTTTAATGAGCAACTCAACAACATACATATAAAATCCAATCTCAAGCCTCAAGTTAATAAAAGATTTATGTAGCTTTTCCCCTTGCCTTAATCACTTTGAACTATGATTAACAAATCATTTATGTAAACTTGTATATTTATATGCTGCATCTACTTTCAAAAGTTCAAATTTTCGATATTACAATATTTCAGAGTAGTAATAATATTTAGTTTGTATTCACATTCTTTTATTTAAAAACACATACGAACACAAAATAAAATATTTCAGCTTGATGTTATTCTGAATTATTTCGGTGAACTTAACCAAATAATACACCCAATCGGTTTGATTTACTTATCGGCTCCTGATATTGTGGGTGGGTACGGATGTATTCCAATCCCCTTAGAATAGCCTCTGGAATTGGTGGTGGGGTGGGCAAATGCGAGCCCTGTGGTTGGTAACCATTCTCGTCAGCAATGTATGAGAGCTGCACTTGTTGACCCTCCGGCGAAATGTAAGAGTTTGAGCCGCTGGCACCCTGACCACCCACTCCTTGCTCCTGACCAGAGATTCCATTGGAGGTCTCATATGAGTAGCTGTAGCTGCCATCAGGGTTTATTTCGCTTCTGCTATTTCCGACTGCGTAGGACTCGTCACTCACTGCATAGGCGCAGGCAATCAAAGCCGAGGCAACAAGGAGCTGAAATGCAAATAGGGAAGTAGTTATATATTCACGTATCCTGTGATTCGACGTTAGGCACTTACGAAGCGGAACATCTTTGCAGGTGTCTGTCTTTAGGTGGTGGACTAAATGATGCGTTAGTTGTAGAGTGCCAGCCAATTTATACTGAAAAATCCGATGTTGGACTCGATATTCTCATAAACTTGATTGCTTAAAATTAGCTTGTTCGCCGATGTTCAGGAAATTAATCTAAATGACAATAACAATAAAAGCAATCAATTGCCCCAGTTGGCCGAAACCGGAGAATGTCTGTGCGCATCAGCATTAGCAGCTGCTGCCGCTGCCTCTGACGCAGTCGTCCGATGTGAGTGGGCTTACGCTCGCCGGCCTGTTGAGCAGAGCCATGCAGCGTAGTGTCAATGCCAAGCCAGTCCCTGGCTCACAGCCGAAGGGGAGCAAAGCGGGGAGCCCACCCGGCACACCCAAAAATGTATTTCAAGAAATTCATCTATGGAAGCATGTATGCGTGTATCGCTATAAAAATTTCGCATAATTTATGGTTCCACTGCTACAGTTTGTCTAGCTTGGTCTCACTTTTTTTACTCATTTCAATTTTCATCCGTCCGGTTTTTCGGTCAGAAATGGTTAACACATTTTGTGATGAGAGGCGCTAAATATGCGCGCTTAACAAATTGGATTATAAAATTCAAATAATTTAATGATCAAGATCTGATGTCAAAACAGGATTTACTTCTGTCCAAGTCTCAGTTGGGTCTAGAAACACTAGTAACTAAACTTGCGGCGGCAACATCATGGATATGCTCAGATGTCAAATTCCATATGTAGACTTACTTTCGAATTTGGTTAAAATGAGTATTGTTTTTTTTTGAATATCAATCGATTGTAGAGATTCGTATATATTAACAAATGGAAAGGAAGAAGTCCAGTATACCCTCATTTCCCATTTTTAATGAGTTAAAGGTAAAAAGTTTTGCTAATTTTGGATTGAAGCGTTTATTTTGTTTTAAAATTGGACTTCACATTTTATCAATTCTAAGGGTTCTTGATCTTGTCACTTATATCGACATTTTTAAAAATGCGTATTGGATTTTTGAATGAACAATTTAACAATATATATTTCCAATCTCAGGCTTCAAGTTAATTAAAGTTTTATGGAGCTCTTCCTCTTGCTTTAATCATTTTGAACTGTGATTAACAAATTATATATACAAACTTGTATATTTATATTCTGCAAGTATAGATTACTTTCAAAAGTTCAAATTTTCGATATTATTTCAGAGTAATTATAATATGTATTTAGTTTGCATTCACATTCTTTTATTAAAAAACACAATAGAATTTTTTGGGTTCAATCGCTGTGCAGTTAAAAGCATCTTCTGTTTGTGGGAGATACGGCTGTCGGGCTCAGTGTATGAGTTTGAGTCGCTGGCACCCTGATCAAGCACACCTTGCTCCTGACCAGTGATCCCATCAGGGTTTATTTCGCTTCTGATATTTCCGCGTGCGTAGGACTCGTCAGTTGCTGCACAGGCGCAGACAATCAAAGCCGAAGCAATAAAGAGGTGAAATTCAAATAAAAAAGTTGTTATCTAAGCGGAACATCTTTGCAGGTGGTGTCTGTCTTTGAGGAGAAGACTGAATAATAGCATACTGGTAGATTTTAAGCGAATTTATAATAAAATTGTGATTTGATTGACGTATAAAACAACTATCCGGTTATACGAATTATGTCATACATTTAAAAATAATAAGAAAACTGTCTCAAGCTAAGAACTATTTTTATTTGCGATATGCTGAAATTCGCATGCAAATTCAATGAATTTTACTAGCCGGTTTTATTCGGCATCTAATAAAAGTATTCGGAAGGAAATTAATGTATAGTACAATAGAGAAGCACATGCACATGTGTATGGCATGAGTTTAATATAGAGAAGATATTGTTCGGGTTATGTTATGTAATGTATGTATTTTTTCAGCAACTCAAAGATAAGCTCGAACAACGATCACTTTTTATGCGAACGTCATTAGAATAAACAATTAAGAAAATACTATAAAATAGTGTTGCGGTTTCATCACTTAGAAGCGCACATGACCCTGTCGCTGCTCCTTTGGCGGATGGGTGCGAATGTATTCCAGGGATCTCAGAATGGCAGCTGGAATGGGCGGGGGTGTGGGCAGATGAGCTCCTTGCGGATGGAAACCATTCTCATCAGCAGTATAGGTCAATTGGATCAACTCGCCGTTGGGATCGTAGTATGCCGATGAGCCGCTCGCATACTGGCCACCCACGCCCTGCTCCTGTTGGGCTATGCCATTGGAGGTCTGGTAGCGATACTCATAGCTGCCATCCTCCCTTTGGTCGCTCTTGAGCTCACGTATTTCGGCGGTGGCATCGAAGGAATCCGGACGGGCCTGGGCAACGGCCAAGAGGGCTACGGTCAAGATGTACTAAACCAAGAGAAGATTTGCTATTATAATAGCTACTTCAATTGGGGAGGGAAATAATAAACTCACGAATTTCATGTTGGTCTCTGTGCTGGTTGTCACTGTACAGACGATGTGAGAATGAATGCTGCTGCACTGAAGTACCAGTCCATTTATAGTCGCTTTGCCAATTACCTGGCAAGCCCAAGCGGCGACAAGTTTTATGGATTTTAGCATTGAACCTGAACTGCTGGAACTACATATGTACATACATATATTGCCATACTCATTGTCGGCCCTGCTGCGAACTCACACATTCACATTCAGAGACAGACAAGCTCATGCATGTTGCTCAATTTTAGGAAGCTCGCTCATAAATTTTTATAAATTGTCTGCTCATGTAGCCTTTGTTTCAATATCTGCTGGTTAGCCATGTTCTTCTGCTTTGATGGTCCGACAAATCTAATATTTGTTATTTAATTTTCACACTTTTTGTACATTTCAGTCATTGCATGTGACAAACTTTTCTTCTTTTTGTTTTTATTATTCCAACATAATTTAAAAGGACCTATTTTAAGGCATCAGGCAAATCCAAGCCCAAGAAATCATAACGGAAAGAAACTACAAAAGTTTATTATAAATGATATGAACTGCTTAAAAAGTCGATTAAATATCAGCGCATTCATTTATTATAAAATCACAAAAAGCGTTCCCCAAAAGCCAAAGGCTCATAACACAGCCAGGAACGACCTTGCCACAGCGTGTGCTGACTTTTTGCGTCTTTGATTTCTTTTCTGCTTTATTTTGCGAATACAACAGGGATGGGAACGTCGAAGGTATCTTCTGATGGAGAGAGCAATATCTGGCTGTAATTGCATTTCGTGACTCACGAACGTTATTTTAATTAGTCTATGTTAGCAAGATATGTAAATTTATATATTAAAATATTAATTGAGCATTGATTTAAATGCTTATTTATTTAGTTAAATTTCTTATCATTTAAGATTCCATATTTTAATTCAAATTTGCTAAAGTGCTTTCCAATTAAAATGTATGTACATATCTCAAATGACGACTCCTTAATATTTATCTAATAATGAAAACATGTTCTTAGGAAAATACACTTTAATTCATGTGTTGATACATTTACACAATTGAGATAGCTGATACGAATAGTTTGATTGGAACTGAGTTTATATGAATCACATATAGGCGTTTTAACATAAAAGAAGGTTTCTTAAGAGAAGAGTTGATCTAAAGAGGCGCACATATAATTGAAATTACTTAATAGTTAATTAGTCAGGTAATAATATCAAAATAAGCTTTGCAGACCCCAGTGGGTTAAATCTGATACCACTTGCCAATATTGGCGTGACTCAGTGGTGCACCACTATCGCGAATGGGCCAAGCAAAAGCAAAGCAGAGAAGTAGGCACCAGCTACATGCTGTTCCATTTATAAGATTTGTGAATGCTTTTTATAAATACTCGTATTCGTGCATGGGCGAGAGGTAGACGCAGAGCGTGAGCTGCGTTCGACTTAAGGGCAACATAATCTTCTTTCTTTATACGTTTACATTTTTTTTTTGCCGTTTTGTTTTTTTGCCTGCTGTCGGAACCGGCTGCTGGACGGCCGAATTGGACGGGTGCCGTCTGTCGCTTGGCTGCGTTTAAATGAAAGTGAAACTTGTTACGATTCTCAGGCACTTCCTTGCGCCGTTCGATGCCGCCTAAGTGGCTTCCGCTGGACCCGGACCGGATCGGGTCATCTGGACCCATCAGCAATCCGTCGTTGGGCGCATTAAACTCATAAGAAGAGCGCCACTTGATGTACATTCAACAAGCCAAGTCGTCTAAAAATAATTGACCTAAATATTGTGGCTGCGACAAACCTGTCTCAAGGTCGGGGCTAGAGCATATCAAGCTTTCGCATTGCTTTTCATAAAATACCCAATCTTCGATACTTGTCTCTATTGGATGCCACATCGAGTTGATGATGATGAGCATCATAAAAGTCTAAATACGTATCATGGCTTGACATTTGAATATTTATTCGAGTTTTGTGTTTTCACGTTTTATTTGAGTGCTCCACATTTGATAAGCTGTTGGATTAATTAAATTCTCAATTATGTATATTCATTAGCTCAGTCCCATTGTCGGCATTCAGCTGTCAAACGACTTATCTCAGCTATGGCTGATATAATATTGTCGGCGATAGCTTTCACTGGGGTATATGGCTCAGTAGCCCAATCACAATGTCAACTGCTTTCAAAAAAAAAACCAAGAGAAAAGTCAATCTAACCCTAACCTTGGTCTCTTTATTTATTAAAGCTTTTGGCACTAATTATTACTTTTTTTTTAATGTTTTATGCTATTTACAAATCCAACAAGTCGCACCTTTCGATTTCGTCTTTTCTTTTCAAAAGCTGGTTTTTTGTTCAGTACATGTCTATTTGAATCAATGGGGATCTACGTTTTGAGTAACGGTAACAGCCCATGCCCACCTCTAGTCCAGGGTATAGAAATAAATATCAAAGGAATGAAACTTTCCTTTAATTACAATGATCAACTTTTTTATTTTTATTTTAAAGCACTAAAATGAATGATCTTATTATCCACAAAGGGATTTGACAGTACAAGGACTTAAACTCTGAGTGGTGATTTGTGGCTGGTATCCAATCACATCGGCAATATATGTAATCTTGATCAGTTCGCCCTCTGGGGTGTAGTAATAGTAACTACCAGTGACACGCTTGCCAAGAACTCCCTGTTCCTGCGCAGAGATTCCATTTGCGGTAGTAGATGGATAAAAGTAGCTACCAATAGGTTTGGGATAGCTGTAACCCTGTCCGGTTGCGTGGGCATCATCTAATGGTCTGGCATACGCACAGGCAATCAAAGCCGACACAATAAGCAGCTGATGATTATACACTTATATGTTAATACTGATTATGGCAATAGATCCAGCGATTCGTTCTTTGGCACTTAGCAGTCGAAACATCTTTCTAGGTGGTGTCTGTCTAAAGGTGAACGACTGAATGTACCATCATGGAGTATTGGAAGCTAATTTATACTAAAATTGCGATTCCTGTTTCGATATTCTAATAAACCTGAATGCTTCAGAATGCCTTGTATGCTGATTTATAAATTTATTTAAGCAATCATAATAGACTGTTCTCGAAAGCGATTCTATTGACTTACAAAATAAAATGTTTTATGATTATTTCAACCTTGTGCTAGAATATATGTATATATGAAATAACAAGTAAGAAAACTCTAGTCAGGACTGCTCGACTACGAGATCCCCTGAACCCTTCGAACAATAGCTATTTCAGTCATTTTTCGCGTCTTTCTACTGACACAAGACACACGCACACACACACACGCACGCACACACACACACACACACACACGCAGCTCTTGTATCTTCTGAAATCGACGCGTTCAAACATACTGACAGACGGACAGACGGACGTACGGACAGATAGACAGACGGACAGGGCTAAATCAACTCAGCTCGTCGCCCTGATCAAGAATATATATACTTTGTAGGGTCTGCCACGCCTCCTTCTGGCTGTTACATACATTTCAACAAAACCATTATACCCTGATTTCCCATTGAAAATGGGTTAATTAATTCATTTCATGGGCAAAGCAATACAATTTCTGAGCTAATCAAAAGCTAATAAAATAACATCAAATGTAGTTACATTCGCGATGCAAGCGGTACGGAACTATCGGCTTAGATCAGGTTTCGGTCTGAGCATTAGTATCACAACAAATTGAAGAGATAATTTAATAGAGCAAAGCTCATCTCAAAATTTAAGGTTGAGTCACAGCTGCAAATTGGGCAACATCTGTATTCGCTGTGCTTTCGCCTAGAGTGTCGAGATTTACATATGAGTGTGAGCTGAGCAGAGCTAAAGCAACTGTAATTAATGAATTAACACCAACACTTAATTATTTTAATAGCCGCAGCGAAGCGCAGAGCGTGTACCTGCCGAGTTTCTTGAACCCCGGGCGTCGTTTTGCCTAATCGTAGTTCAAGTCATGAAGTGTGTGCGTGCGTGTGTGTGTGTGTGTGCGTGCGTGTGTGTGCCCGGCAGCTGAGTGTTGCGTATAATTCAAGAGTTTCAATATTAATTTCGATTTTGGTTTCATTTTCGTTTGGCCAAGCGAGAGCAAAAGTGAATGAAAACGATTGTTGATTAGTTTAAGCCCATAGCGCCATGGAGCGCTGTGATAATTGGAAATGCAGAAGCTTGTTGCTAGTTGCTCTTGGCTGGGATATGGATGAGCTGTTGATGGCCCTTAGCCTCATAATTCCATAATCATTATCAACGGTTAATGGTTGCACACGCACACATACACATAGATAGACCTTTCCCCACTTTCGTTGTGCTGCAGTAAAAGTTGAGGGTATATAAAACTCAGTTCATGCCATAGTCAGACATCAAACATAGTTTAGCTCTTAGGCTTTAAACAGCAATAAACTAAAAACCCCCATAGAACTCCAAGCCCGGCAAAAATGTTCAAAATCGTAAGTTTCACGAGCTAAAGGATTGCCGAGTGGATAACAGTGTCAATAACATCTGCGTTTCCTTTGCCCTTTGCAGCAACTCGTCGTACTTGTTGCTGTCGTCTTTGTGAGCGCCGTGCAGTCTGCGCCATCGGATTCGGCCGATGCGCACGCTGAGATTCGCAGCTATGTGAATGAGCTGAAGCAGGATGACAACAGCTACAAGTATCAGTTCGAGACGAGCAACGGCATCGCGCAGCAGGAGCAGGGTGTAGGAGGATATTATGCCAGCGGCTCATCTCAGTACTATACACCGGAGGGCCAACTGATCCAATTGACGTATACGGCTGATGAGAATGGATTCCAACCGCAGGGTGAGCATCTGCCCACACCCCATCCCATTCCGGAGGCCATTATCAAGTCACTGGAATGGAATCGCGACCATCCAGAGGAGGACAACGAGGGACAATACAATCATGGCCATGGCGGCAATGGCTATGGCGAGCAGGCCAATCAATTCCTGCAGGCGCCGGCATCTGGTCTGCCATACGAGAAGAAGATTTAAATTACTTCACTGCACAGCCACTGCAGCAGAAGCAGCCGCAGTGGCAGCATTGGGGGACCTTTGCCCCCGCGTTAGCTTGTTCGTTCATCTTGTAGTTTAAGTCCAGCCAACTCCGCCTTCAGCCGCCCGCCTCAGCTTGTGTGCTCATTCATGTTCGTGTTTTTGCATATGCTTATTGCATGGCCGAGCCAACAAACATGAGCAAACAATCAGCGACAACAGCATTGGCTCAGCATAGTTGACTCCGGTGCTGAACCTGCGGCAGATGCTGATGCTCGAGCTGAAGCTGAAGCTGAGGCTGGAGCCAGGGGATGCCAATACCAACGCCAACGCCAACGCATACTGCTCATACATATACGCACTGTACATACTTATATACATTCATATATATCTATATAGACACCCACACTCACACACACATTCAGTTGCCCGCTCCTGGGCGCTGTGTCCTTTGTCGGCTCGCTGACGTTGACATTTATTGCCAGAGATAATAATAATGTAATAAAAAGAAAAAATATACAATTTAATATTGTTGTTTATACCATGTACAAATGGCGTAGCTCTTAGCCAACTACCTCGGCATACCGTGGCCATATGGCTGCCAACACTACAGACCCAGCAGCAGCAGCACCAGCAGCGGCAGCAGCTGTCGGTATCATAAATCCTCCGTTTACAAGGGGCTTTAACTTTAGGTGTGTTTCCAGCGACCCATCTGCATTTGCATCAGTTTTGGTCAAATGAAATTAAACATTAATAAATTCGTTAGCTATTGGTATTGTTATTATTATTGTTGTTGTTGCTGCTGCTGYTGGTGTAGCTGTGCTTATGCTAATTAGCCATTGGAGCTACATTTGAGTGGATTGAAGCATTTCGATTAATGTTGCAACATTTACCTTGCAACTGCGGCTCGTTCGCCTCGACGTTTTAATTAACATACTTATTTATGTGGCTGTTGTTGTCTCTTGTGGATTTTGCAGTGTTTGGACCAACATTTGATGCGCTACGTTCGAGATTTGGGTCGACAACAACAACAACAAGAGAAGAGTATAGCGGTACTTTGAATTTCTGAAGCAACGCAGAGACGGCAAAAGTACATGAAATGAATACAAGAAAACAAGATTAATAATTATAGTTATGTGACTACAACCTCATAATATTTGCCAAATCTAATTAAAATAAAGATGCATGTTAACAGAGCTTAAAATAGCGTATTATCTAGTCGATGTGTCTGCTTGAGTCTACGCATGCTACTAGGTATATCTTCAAAGTGGGTTACTCGAAATGATCAATTTGCATATTAAGCGTTTACTATTGGTATTGAAATCTGAATATCTTCGCTTACTATATATAGTTGAGGGCATGGACGCAGAGCTCACATCACAACTGACGACCAAAGACTGCACCAGCAACGCAATGTACAAGCTGGTAAGTAGCCAGCTCAATGTGGATTGGAGTATCCGTTTGAATCCAGATTTTGCTTGCTAATAGCTCCTCCTCGCCGCACTATTGGCCTGCGCCGCCGCCGCTCCSCGTCCAGGAGATGAGGCTCAGATTACCCGATTCGACATACAGGCCGACACGGATGGTTCCTTCAGCCATACCGCTGAGACGAGCGATGGCACGGTATTCTCGGAGCAAGGCGTCGGCTCACAGTATGCAAAGGGATATTTTGCTTGGGTGTCACCCGAAGGTGTTCCAGTTCAGGTGAGCTATGTGGCCGATGAAAATGGCTACCAGCCCCAGTCAGATCTGCTGCCCACTCCACCTCCCATCCCCGACTACATTCTGAGGTCGATTCAATACATCCAGCAGCATCCCACGCCCGAAGAGTTGGCCGATCGGGAAGTGCGCGCACGCCAATTATAAGCAAGTCGTCAATTAGAGCTCGACTTTGCCCCTACCACATAAGTCTAAGATGTACAAATAAACTATTGCATATAATCGTGAAGTTTAGTGAGACTAATTAAAGTGTTTTCTTGCTAATTCATTGCCAGTTGGACAAAGCTCAATTACTGTGCTAATAGCAGACGACAAATCAGACAGAACAGCTCATAGACAAAGCCTAGCCTTGTGCGTAGCTAACAAAGAACATTCCAGCACAGTGAAACCTGGCTATTGTGATCAACTTTAGCTATCAGAGTCAGAGACTACTGTACTTGCATCAAATTGGTGAGAATATGAGCTAAACTTGAGGTTCAGTTTGGCTGCCAACTTTTTTTTAGCTGTTTGAGAAAATTGAAATTCATTAAGAACTCGAGAGGAGACTGTGCACGCGCGAGGATACACACACACACGCACACACAGACAATGCACGCAACGAGTTGTGGCAATGGGAATACGTTAGCAAGCTCCCCATATCAATTAGGCGTGCTCTGTGGCGGATATGAGTAGTTAATTAAAAAGATTAAGGCGCATGAGGAAATTAAGTATGTGCGAGCATGTCATATTATACATATACATATAAGTATATAGTATAGGTGTGGATGTTCTATACAATTTGTATAAACCCTCCTGAATACATTAAGTAAATATATATGTACATATATAGCTATATATAAGCTATATTTACATATTTACATGCGAGTTGTAATTAATTCAAACATTGGCTTGATTTTCTTTTATTTTTTTCATAAATGTTTTTATCGCTTGCCCACTTTTATGTAAATGTCTGTCCAGAGCGCCGGAAACGAAAGGTAAACACAATCGCTCTTTAAATGATTCGAATGCCTCCTGCCGCCCCCAGCTCCAGCCCTACACAGGTGCTCGCGCTTGAGTGCTGATGCTGCCGTTTGTCGTTTGTCGTTTGACTCCCTGACAAAACAAAGTCTGCTGTGTAATCAAAAACTTCTATTTCACATTTTATTATTTTATTTTCAACTTGATGATAAATGTTTTGTGGAAATGTGGGCCCTATCTGCACGACAAAGGCATTCCTAATTTCCAATGCTGGGCTGTGCGAGAGAATTTGTGATCCATATCGCTAGGACAGGATATGAATACATTTCAAAATAGACATGCTGCGCTCGGTTGACGTCCGTTGTTATTTTAACATGCGCATGTATTCATAATTTTCATTTTTTATGGCATTTTTTATTTTTTATTTATTTATTTATGCATTATTCTAATATAGTTCCATTTATATTTCTTGTTTATTTATCAACAGCTGTCAAAATTAGCATGTTTTTTTTCCTTTTTGATACGGTTCATCTGAGCTTTAACAAACTAAATTTAAGCCAGCTGGTTTCTGCATAGTTTTATTTATATTAAGCGTGAAACAATGACTTGAGAACACCAGTTGGCAAACAAAGCCATAGTCAAACCAGAAAACTGTGAATGCAACGAAATTGAAAGTCCCCACAAAAGTCACCAATGGCAATCAGGTTTAGGCAATAAAATAAATTAATTGAGGTGGCTTCGCTGGATGAGAGACAGGTATATTGAATGCTCAACAATATGTGTATTATACTATCAACCTAAACAGTTGCAGCTTTTTATGGAGGAATCCATGGACGGCATCAAGCGCATAAAATTCCAACATTTAGCACCAGCAACAGAGCCGCAGTTAAACAATGAGACAGTAGTCATTGAGCCGGCGAGCTGGGGAGCTGTGTGGCTGAGTTAAGCCTTTGGGGGGCTATTGTAATGCAAACAGATCTCTTGCGCTCTCTGAAGTGGCCACCATTTCTGTTTGCCAACATAGTGTATGGAAGCCCAAATGTTCATGTTAAAAAAAAAAAATGGCTTTGTTTTGTCACTGTTCGCTCGATTCCGGTGTGGTCGGTCTGGTTACGGGTTAGGGTATGGTGCCATATGGCTAATAGCACGTGTCACGTAGCCTGAAAAATATGCGAGTGAGTGCCCGAAAATAATGCGGCACACAAACACTACTCGAAAGTGGATAGAAAAAATGGTAGGCAAAGCACAAGCATTTCAATTAAGCTAAAAGTGGACCTGAGAGGCGAGGTGGGCGAGCACGAGGACGAATACGGAGACGTCAATGACAAGCTAAAGGGTTGTAGAGCAGAAGGGTGTTTTCAATTTTTTTTTTCTCTTCTTCTTCATTACTCGGGCACTCGAGCCGTAATCTTTAGCATTTCGTTTGAAATGAAATTTTGGAATCGCTTTAAGTAGCTGTACATAAGGCTTGAATGGGAAAACTGTTTGTGACGTTCAGCCCCATCACATTTCATTTGGGATGCAATTTTTCTCGTCGCTGAGTCGAGAAATGCGCTGGCTATATTAATAACAATAGATGATGCCACAGCAGCTGGAGGCGCTGACAGCCAATGCAGTGCAAGGGCGATCAAATGAAAAATAATCTCCAGCAATAATTGCTATAGAAAAGTTTTGGCTAGCCCAGCCAAGCCAAACCGAGGCGGGCAGTACGTTAGCTGTCCCTGTCGACAGTAAAAGTAGCAGCGCAGACAAACGAAACCAATTTATTTTAAAAGTAAAAATCAATAGCCAAGAACCAACAGTCGAAGGTTCAATCTCCGAACGTCTAACCATTAAAAAGTTGAGTTGTAGTGGTCCGACACCACCAAAAAAGTGTAAGCCGACAGCCACATGTGAGTGGGACGGATGCGAAGTGAAGATGCCGCTTAGTCGACACCTGCCCATTCCAGTGGTGCGATGAAGAGCCATTGCGTTGCTTTGTTGTCCGCAGTCACCGGGCGCGCCATTACATTTAACAACTCAACAATGTAGTAGCTTGATGCTACCAAATGCATTTGACATGCCATGAAATCCAATAACTGACATAGTGTTTGCTGCTCTGGCTATCGGATTTCTCCTATGCTGCGTGAGTGTGCATGTGTGCTAGTAGTTATTGTTATTTGTTTCATTTAGTCAGCAGCGAGCGCTTACTGAATGGCATCTACGATTTGATTGCTCGCCCTCGCTGATGTTAAATGATATATGAGAGCAAGTGCATTCTGCTGGCAACATGCTATATACCTTTAGGTGAATACAACAGCTGCTATGCTATGCGATGCTGCAAGAAAAGTTGCATCAAAATTGAACATTATTTTTCTTTGTTGTCACCGGCGCATTTTCATATTTAATGCACAATGGACTACACATCCACACTCACACACACACACACAGTCACATACGTATGAAAGAAAACTTCTTGAGTATAGTCATTGGTTTCGTAGCTAGCATTTAACAGCTACTTAACAGTCGCTGTTAGGCCTAACAGCATGCAGGATACGCGCCTTTTAACGGTACATCGTGGCGCTCGTGGCGCTCAGTTCGTGTTCGTTGGCTGCTCGTGGCAGGCGTTTAGTCGCATCGTCGGCATTTCGTTCGACCACGTCCGGAGTCACGTCCTTTGTGTACGTAAATATTTATGTTTGATAAGCTCATGTGCGTCCTGTTTGGCTATCTGTATCATTTTGTATATTTTTGGTGCTTTTGCGCGCGTGTGTGTGTGCCGGAGTGTGATTGTGTGTGTGTGAGTGTGTGAAACTACATTAAAAAGTTCACACACAAATTGCATTATATCCAAGCTGCGATATATTGGCGCGCTTTGTGTACGTGTTGCTTTTGTTGTTGTTGTTGTTGTTGCTGCTGCTGCTGCTGCTGGTGGCAACTCGAGATGATTTGGGGCCAGGCCACAGAGAACATAACGTATGTACATATACCGTTATAGATGCCTGTGGGTGTGCACACATTTTTTACTTACTTTAAATAAGTTGAAGACATTTTCCGCTATTGTACAATTCGCTTGGTGGGCTCAGGGATATGTTTACGTCGATATACATATATGCTACGTGTACATACATATATAACTGGCTGCTTGCATGGTATGTCCAAATATGAAATACCCTGAACCGCTAATGATCTAGATATTTACTATAAATAAAAATAATGGTTTTTCAAAACCTTTATATCTTCACTTTCAAATTATCGTTTATTTAAAAACACTCAAGTACACAATATTACCATAAAACACTCTGATTGACGGTATTTCTAAACAATTAATATTTAACCTGTACAACTCCCTAGAGTTCTACAAGATAACTGGCTTGTATCTTCAAATATTGGGCTTGGCTTGTTGGTGGGGGGTAGGTATTTGGATAGGTCGTATCTAGGCCTGTATCCATTCTCATCGGCAATGTATGAATTCGTGATCAGTGTGCCGTCTGGGGAAAAGTAAGAGTAAATACCAGAGACACGCTGTCCACCAACTCCTTCCTCCTGACCATAGATTCCATTGGAGGTACGATATGAGTAACTGTAGCTACCATCAGGGTTGATTTTGCTGGTAACCTCGCCGGTTGCGCGGGCTTCATCCAATGGTCTGGCATACGCACAGGCGATCAAAGCCGACACAATAAGCAGCTGATGATTATACACTTTTATGTTAATACTGGTTATGGCAATAGATCCAGGGATTTGTTCTTAGGCACTTACCAATCGAAACATCTTTCTAGGTGGTGTCTGCCTGAAGGTGGAAGACTGAATGTACTCTACTAGAGTATTGGAAGCTAATTTATACTAATCAATATGCTAATATACTGACTGCTTCTGAGCATATTCTGATAATAGAAACAAGTAAGAAAGCTCTAGTCGAGAATGCTCGACTACGAGATCCCCTGAACCCTTGGAGCAATAGCTATTTCAATAATTTTTCCTGTCTTTCTACTTACACAAGAAACACGTACGCACACACACACAAACATACACGCACGCACGCATACATACACACACACATACACAAACATTTACATACACACAAACACATACACACACAAGCATAAACACGCATGGGCTGCAGAGGTGGGGGGTAAATTTTAACAAAAACCGACATTGTATAAATTGCATATAAGCATGTATGTACAAAATTTGAAGACTCTAGCAAAAAAGGTGTAGAAGATATAATTTTATAACTGGTTTTCGAAAAGGTTTTTTTATCGATAAAAAAGATCGGGATGAGTTATCGATTTTTAATGATAAACTCGATATCCGCGCTGTAAATACGGACATTTAAAAAAAAATTTGAAATCTCTAGCTCTTATATCTTCTGAAATCGACGAACAGACGTACGGACAGACAGACGAACAGGGCCAAATCGACTCAGCTCGTCACCCTGATCAAGAATATATATACTTTGTGGGGTCTGCCTCCTTCTGCCTGTTACATACATTTCAACAAAACCATTATACCCTGATTTCCCATTGAAAATGGGTTCAGGGTATAAAAATTTAAAAAAAAACATGAAAATAATCAAACCATAAAAACCGCTTTTTTTAGGCTTTTTTGTAAAAATTTTCCGCTTTTTTTCTTGTTTCTTGCATCTAAAAACAGCTTTTTTTCCGGTAAAAAGTTGGCAGCACTGCCCTCTACACTGAATGNTTCTAGCTATTATACTTTAGGAGATATCAACTTTTGCGGTTTGGGTTACCAGTCTTGGTCTTGGGTTACCAGCCCGAGTATATGTACAAAATTTGAGGTCTCTCGCATCAATAGTGTCCAAAATTTTAACACTTTATAAATCGGAGATATACACAAGTATGTGTTCCAAATTTCAAGTCTCTAGCTTCAATAGCGCCGAAACAGATTGCGTTCATACGGACAGACGGACGGACAGCAAGACGGACATTGCACAAAACCAAAATACTAAGTCACTTTCGTGAATGAGTATAATAATTCACTTTCGTGAATGAGTATAATGAACATTGCAAATTTGAGAAAACTATTTGATAACAAGTCAAAGAACTCTATTAAAGCAGAATTTCCATTAAAATGCTTGACAGTTTTGGTTAGCCTTTGTGGGGCCGGTTTAGGTCGATTGCGCGGCTTTGGGAGCCTTAACACCTGGCTTGGCCCGAGGAGACGGCAAATTAGTTGAAAGCACGGTGATTTACAGCAAGTTTAGACGCATTAAGGCATTATCCCCGGGCCCCATCCCAATGCTGATGCTGATGCTAATGTTGATGGCAATGCTGAAGCCACAGCCCAAGCTGGGCTGCGATGCCATATTGGTAATGTGATTTTTGGAGCACTTTTGTTCACGCCCGACGACACATGTTGTGGTTCACACACACACACACACACTCGAACGCGCACATAAACTTGAGGGTCTGCCATGCCCGTGGGCGGTATTTGCATGTCCCGACCCCGTTCGGACTGAAACGCTTAGCTTGGCTGCCAAGTTAGTGCTGCAACTTTCCTGTCGAGCAATTTACACACAAGTGTGGGCATATGAGTGGGTATGTGCGTATGTGTGTGCATACATGTGACTCTATTTAAATGCCCCCTACTAATAATGTCCTTAAATTATACAGCTGGACACCTAACTTGTGTGGCCCCAAGCCAATTTAATCGATATGTATATGGGGAGACGCCAGCAGTTAGTCGACGCTGGGACAGACGTAGTTATGTGTAAATATTTGATGGGCCCTTGGGCTAGCTAGCCGTGACTTGGCTGCCATGCCCGACACGCTTGATCTGAGGCTCAGTCAGTCAGTCAGTCACAATCTGGGACTTTGGGCCTTTTCACTGCACAGCGTACACTGGGACAGTCCGGGCCATTACGATGATGACGGGCGTGTCGGCTCAGTTCCGGCCAGCACGGCTACCCCCAATAAATCTAAGCGCCTCCAATCCATTTGAATCAGCACAAGCGCGGAAATCTGCTGGTCAAGTACCGTTGCGGCGACAATTAATTAAAACTAATTGAGTTTTGGCCAATGCTCCAGCTACCGCACTGACCGAGCGTCCCACTGTCCGACTCAGCGACTGACTGGCTGACTAATTGGCTGCATGTTGGCAGCTTGAGGTTGAGCTTCGGCTGCTTTTGCAATAAATTGTCATTTCATTAGTTTCCATTACGCGCCAAGCTACCCACGCAGCGGCGGGCGGTGCGTTATTAATGAAGTAGGCGCCTGTTTACCTGCTGCCGTGTTGTCTCCGTCTCCTTTTGATAATTTTCACTTTTATTGGCTTTTAATTAATGCGAAATTGTTTCAGATTATGAATACTCGTCGGCATCTCTGGCGAGGCAATTAATTTGATTGCAAAACGTTTAACGGGCTCGGCATGCTAATGAGATCTTAGTTAGCCTGCTGATGCTGCTGCTGAGATATTGCAGTGTCACACGTGTATTTGCCTGCTCAGCTCCAATAGAACGAACGTCAGTCAGTCAGCCAATCACCCAGTCAGTCAGTCAGTCATGCCTGGGGGTGGCTCATGTTAAGCGTTACAGTTGCGCCTGCCGCTTTGTGTTCGGGTTGCTTTCTCATTTCAATTGTCAAGTGATGCTATCAAGTCGAGCTTGTTGCCTGTCTTTTATCCCGTTAGCGTTTGCCTGATATTGGCTTGTATGCACGGCAATTGTCTGCTCTACAGGTATGTGCTGCTGCCTGTGTCTGTGTCTATGGGTGTGTGGCTCTGTGTGTCTGTATACCATAGCAAAGGCTATTCAACACGCTTGCACAGCAAACAGTTGCATTCATCAGTTACCGTGTTCAGTTCATTGACTGACTTTGTATCTCAACCACATTTTTGTATCCTCGAACAATGCCCATCATGTTAGTCTGTGTGTGTGTGTGTGTTTCCTAGCGAATTCCACTACACAAATATTGACACTGTCCAAAGACATACACAAACATTCAAATACACACACACACACACACGCATACACTGTCGCCCCTCATCACTCACTCACTCACTCGTATTGACGGTTATTGGTTATTGATATGAAATCTGATTATCTTTTGCTTTCTCCGCTTTTATGCAAGTTATTTGCATGTGCAGCCAACTGTGGCAGCTGAAAGCAGAAACTCTAATGTACTGATCCGCTCTTAAACAAACTCACAAATGAAGGGCGTGGCATATGTGCAAAAAGGATTTCAAACGAAATCAAAATCAAATCCTTCTAATGCCTATTTGTAATCAATCGTCACAACTTCTCTGGTTTGATCTCAGAGATTATAGCATCTAACAGTTGTGCATAATTACTATGAATTAAAAGTCACATAAGGAGTCTCTAGAGTCTTATATAATGCTCAATACATCAAGTCATTCTGTGAGCAAAGCTCATTTTGTTGACACGAGCATCTGCTTATTGGGGTAGCGATTGGAGCTTGGCTTACACACATCCGGTCGTTGGGGCTTGTCAGTTATCTGGCAACCTGCAAGCCATTAATGTCAAGAGCGCAGTCTGGGATTTGCGGCATTTGAGAGAAGCCGCAGCGGCGACCACAGACCGTGGGCGGCAGTCAAAGGCCGCCACAACGTTTAAGCCCACCCGAGGAGCCCAATACAGTCATTGGCTTTTGGTTATTACGTAGATGCTTTATTTTCATAATTGTCAACATCTTAGCATTTCGTTAAAGAGGCCTCTCGGGGTCTTAGTCTTGTCAGCGGGCACGTCGCTAGGATGGCATGAGCCAGGGCAGTTGTGGTGGCAGCAAATGATTTGATAATCATACGAAATGATTTTAAAATCAACAGCTTATTTACCAGAGATGCCAAAGACATTCGAATGCTTGACTTGGGCCCAATCTCATACCATTTCCTAATTGTGTGTACATACGGGTCGGTGTGTTGCTGGATATTTTTATGACTGCAAGCTGAAAGCAGAGCCAGAGCTAGAGAGAGAGAGATAGAGAGAGAGAGAGAGAGAGAGGGAGAGAGGGAGAATACGACTTGACTTTTGTTTTGTTTGCTTAACTTCATGTCAAGTTAAGCACTGAGGACAACAGCTCGAACTCGAACTCAAACTCGCACTGTTAACTCTGCTGTTAGTTAACAGACGTTAGCGGTCGCTCTCACTGTTAGGCGGTGCGCACGCGCGAAATCTTCGTCAATTGAATTTCATAGCAATTTCCGTGCGATGGCTGCAATACGTTTCAGATAAGGGTTCGTCGGCTTCTGGTTAGGACACTTCATGCCGTTCACGGCAATTTAAATCTGAATTGACGGCGTACTTAAAGGCGTGCTCGGTGCGTATTACGCGAAAGCAAAACAAACTTTGAGCCGGCCAGCAGTACAGTGACTCGGCGTGCGTTTCGCCATTGATGTGTTTCGCCCAAATGCCGATGACTCCCAAATATGACTGGGCTAGCGTTATGTATTAGTGTGCGTTAGTGTGTCTAGTGTGCGTGTTGTATTGTGTTTGTGCATTTGTGCGATACGCATAATGTATTAAGTGTCAGCAGTAGAAGAAATATACATTATAATTGCACAGGACAAGCAATTTGGATGATGTCCAGCACAGGTGAGCCGCAATTTGTGCTCCACATAATGGAATACATTGTTATCGACAGATAGGCAGCATTATTCCCATCGCCCTGATGTGACAACGCCTAATGCAATTTGGGACTATTTTATTTTATTTATTATTTGATTTGTTGGCCGCCTTTGGCTGCCGACACCGGTCAGCCCCATCAGCCCCATCAGCTCCATCAGCACCATCAGCTCCCTTGCTACCAGCATTTAGCTTATTTTTATTTTATTTTATATTATTCTTGTTTTGTGTTTTTTTTTTTATCCTTCTGTGTGTCGTGACCAGCCCTCGTCCACTTGGCCTATAAAAACCCCAAGCATTGGGTTATCCACTTAAACACTCAATATTTTATGGCCCAACTCTTGAGTGCAGAACACTGTGGCTTTTGTCTCTTACATTTCGCTCACTTTTATAGTTGAACTTTAATCGAGGCACTTGGAATTCCAGCAGCGACCACTTCGACCCTCCATTCGTGTAACTTTCCCCCAAGTAAAAACTGAAGTTGGAGCCAAAAAGCAAGTTTGTCAACGTTAAGAGCCCGTAATATTTAACTGATTAAGTTGCTAAAAAAATAAGTAAAAAGTAAGAGAAAATAAAGCTTGCTCTGCAAAATCAGTGGAAAAAACAAACACACGACTGCACAGCAGAGCTGAAAGGGAAACTCGTACGTTTTTGAACGAGTATGTAAATATGTGTTCAAGTATTAGACGCGTTCTGTGCCCTGCACACACTTTGCTTATCTAAATTGTTTTATGTCACAGTTCCCCACTTGTTGGGGGCCAGGCCATTAAGCAACATCCACTCATACACGTGCAGAAGCAGAAACAGGCTCCACACACACACACACACACACACACGCATACATATATCATAGATAATTTTTCAATGTCATTTGAAAGCATCAAAAATGTGACATTAGCCATTAATAAATTAGCAAGCATTTTGAATTTCTGTCTGCTAATTGAATATGAGCGAGGGCTGAGCTTTTGATGTTCCGCCTCTGATATTTCATCACCACAAATCAAATGTCACCCACCCGCGTAATCCGAATCATAGAGACTGCCAAATATCAACGGTAGCAGCTGTGCCATAGCCCGATGTAATTTTATACGTAGCTTAACCTTTAACGCCATCGCAATCCTTTGTTACCGCCTTCGCCTTTTCACCGCCTTTTCACCGCCTTTTCACTGCCTTTCACACATCTTTTAGCGATTTGGTTAGGAGTTGGGCCTGTGCTTTCATAGAAATCCGCCTACTGCCAGGGCGTGTGCTGTCTTTAAAAAAATAAAATAAAATAAAATGAATAAAAAAGAAATAAAAATCTTTTTCAACATTTCACAAAATGTTTGGTAAAATGGTTGCGAGGCTCCATTGTGGAGACTTCTTTGCAGCTGTTGCTGTTTTATGCCCTGTACTGAAAATTTAAATGCGTCGCTCCAGCATTGATATGAGCAATTGCTCATAATAAATCATCTTTTGCCATGAGCTGCTGTTGTGGCAAAGCAAATTGAAAGAATTTTATAATGGGGGACTGTAAATATTTTATCATTTGAGATTTATTTTAATTTGAATAGAAGCTTTTCCAATCCAAAATCATAGCAGCCTTCAGCCTTTAGCCTTCCGCCGGTAGAGGGTGGCATCTAGTCGATCATTACGAAAGCGCCGTCCTCTCATTCTTCTCATTGTTTTGTTGCCTGTTGTGATTTCTTGACATGTGTTGCCGCCGTTAACCATTTGATTTTTCGCACACCCACTCAGCGAGCAACAACTGCAAGTTTGTCATGTGTGAAGTGTGTGTGAGTTGTGTCAGTGTGTGAGTTTGTCTGTCTGCCTGTACATTGTTATGAATTTTCGCTGTAATTCCAATGATTACATAGTATTGTGCACATATTTGTAAGCTAAGCCCAAAGGTAAGGCTTTAAAGTGCCAGCCGGCTCAGTGGGACCCCTGTGGCTCGGCTCGGTAGCCGCAAAGTGGCTTTTCTAATACAAGGACAGCATGTCCTGTCGCGCTTTAAGACGCAGCCAGGACTGTTTATGTTTCCCCTAGCCTGACCCAAAATAACTGTATACTTGTTAATAAAAAAATACGAGCAAGTCAAGAATGAGGGAATAAAGAGCGAAAATACTTAGCAATTCGAAGGGGACTGAGAGCCGGTCCTATTTTCGTCTTTAGTTAAAGGAAATAAGCTTAAACCGTTAACTAACTCAATAATTACCGTAGTTAATTCTCAAATTTACAGCTTATGCAAAAGGTTTTTGGTTAAAGTAAAAGCCAGTCCTATTAGCTAGAAACGTTAAGCTAATAAAATATTTCTTAGAAAATAATATGCTGCTCTCAGCGCCGTCTTTCGTGAAGGTTAGCAACAGCTGCACAAAATATACCGCGAAGTAAATTATCGCATGATAATATTCACCCTGGCTGTGGTGCGGGACCAATTAGTGTAATTACAAAATAAAACTACTTTTTGCCAAGACAAAAACCATAGAGAGAAGCAGAGCTCTGCGGTGCTTGATGCGAGTTTTGTTTTTTTTTTTTTTCTGTATAATTGGAACAAATTTTCATTAAATTGTTTTTAATTTTTAAGCAGCTTATGAACTGACCAACTTTTTTTGGTTGACCGCTGTCTGAATGCAATTGGGCGGCACGAGCGGCTGCCTCTCCATCCAGCTCTCTCTTTCTGCATTTGGCATGCAATTACCCTAAATCTCTCTGTTTCTTTCTGAACGGTAGATAGACGAATTTGAGTTAAGCGACTGCTTGGCCAGATAGAAATTATAATAACATCCATCATCCGGGGCTATATAGGGTTGACAGCAACAAATGTTAACGCTCTTCGCCGAGTAAACAGAGCCTATTTTTGTTTACCACAAATTTCTCTCCGGGTGTTGACGGTGCGTTCGAGGGCAAGTCGAAGTGGCCTCTGAGAGCCATTTGGTAGCTGATTTCGCCACGCGCCCCCTGTTGATATGTAAGCATGTATATGGACCAATAATAAGCCATTTCGTGCACATAATTGGCGGGGGGGCAGTCGCCGAGCAAATAGCCATAATTAATGTATACTCGTGCAATATGTGACCTGACCGAAATACAAAAAAGAACAAACAGTGGCTGAAGCTTACAGCACGACAAAAAAAAAAAAAAAATTAAATAAAAATATAACATAAAAATTTTTCATT